AAAAGGAACTCTGTGTGAGGTTGCGTCATTTGTCTGCCGGATCGAACATTGGTTTTTGTTTCTTCCCGCTTGTTCGAGAACGAAAGCCTAGGGCGGCTGGCTGGCCTGGTCCTGTTCGAAAGCGGATGTGATGTACTATTCGCCTACCAGGCTTGCTGACCGCGGAAAAGCAAGCCTGCCACGCATCCGCATGGGTTGTAAGCCTCGTGGGATGTAGGAGATGATGGAAGCTGTGCTAGTGTCATTCTCGAAGGATCGAAAGATGAACACTGGTTGAACAAATTGGGTTGATTGGCTTGCAGAATTTGGAAGCCAGACGACGCTGCTCACGGCCAGTCCGCCGAGATGAAGAACACCCTGCAGCCAAGTACGACTTGCGGTACGGATAGTCCTCGACTGTTTGCTTGCCCATGCACGACAGACGGTGATTTGCTCCAAGTCGTTATCAAAATGAGCCAGAAATGGACGAGGGCTGCAGGGTGTTGCGGCACCACCTAAGCCCCTGCAGCAGGCCGATGTTTCCCACGGGTGTGGTCACTGGTCAGCGGTCACTGTGGGTGGTGCTGTGATGAGGGTTTCGAAGTTGAGTTGGCCGATGAAGGATGAGGGGTGATTTGTCTGCAGCAGGCGTGAAACGAAGTGCTGATCTGACTGTTTGTCTGATGGACGTCTGGATTCCCAACCTTGTAGGAAAGCGGCATAGATCCGAACCTAAAGAGCGAAAGAGAGAGTGATTGACAGGGTCAAGGAGGGATGAGCAGGGGTCTCTGCACCGTTGCAGTGTTGCAGTCTTGGACCTTGGAGACGGAAAGGTGTCGAAGTGTTCGTGGGTGAGCACTGTGGGTGAGAGAAAGTTTCTAGGCGGTAATTTTTGTGTTTCTTGATGGAAATCGGTAACCGGGAGGGACGTCTGATAGCACCCAAGGCTGCATTCGTTTCGCAAGTGCATGTTGTCCGGGGGGCATCGTTGGAGCAGAGATGAAAAAAGGCGCGAAATTTGAGTTTGAGGACGCGCAGAGGCGGTGCTGGATCGCTTGTCGCTAATGTGCTTTTGGGAGGTGAGGCAGCGGGGATCCGAGAGGACGCTCTCTTCGGATTGAGACGACGGAGGGTGGACGACGTAGAGACGTACATACCAGCGCAGGCTTATCTAAGCGGACTTGGAGACATGATCGTGATGTACACTGTACATCTGCACATCACGTGGAGACACTCATGGGGGCCGCCCACCTCTCATCAAATGTTTGACAGAAAGCAATGTGGGCGCACCGAATGACTTCTCGGTGCATCCCAGTAAATTGTAAGTTGCTGTCGACGATGGTACACCAAATACATAGTAGTGTGAAGTTATTGCCATGGAACCCAGAAGTGGAGGAGAACTGAAATATCTTTGACCGCGGGGTCTGCAGCCCGGGGTTAAGACAGGAATCACGTCATCGCTGTTCAAGTAAAGTGTCGAGTGCGCGGCATGCTGTATCTGGCGCATGTTTCTGGCAGTGTCGAAGTACCTCAAGTGCTACCTACCTACCTTGAGTGAGGGTCCTGAAAGTTGAAGGTGCTTTCCTCCTGTCAGATACATAAAGACTTTGTACCGGGCAGGAGTGAGAGCTGAGAATGAGCGCAGAGGTCAAGAGTACTCCGTACCTACCGACAATGCTCTTACTTGTAGTGGGTTGGTAGCTGCTGCAGGTTGACGGTTGGCATGGGGAAAATGTACCCACGTGCTGTGCCAAGTTCCTTCCCTCGAATATCGCTGGATATCTGCGCCTGCAAACCAGCAGAGGTACTCGGACCACAGAGCAGGGACATGGAAAGTACGGATGCAAGGGGTCCTTCCTTGCTTTGCAACTGCCAGGCTCCCCCCACGCTCTTCCCCGATGATTAATTCCCTCCACTCATCAAGCTTCGCTCCCACCGTCACTACTCCGTCCAGTGCGTCCACTACGGATACTCTCACTCATTTCCATGACACCGTCGCACAACACGACACGAACTGGAAAAGGAAGCCAACCTTCATCAATCACTACAATTTACGGTTACACGGTGGACGACTGCTACAGCACCGCGAACCGGCAGCAAGGAGCAAAAGCCGTGAACCATCATGCGATATCTTGCTCCGTAAAGAACAGCAGAAACAAGCAAACACGTACGCAAACACGCAAACATCCCACACCATCTGCCGTCGAACAGCCTTGCACTCTCTGGTCGCACTTTGGCTTCGCAAACTCGAGGCTGGCGCTGATCTTGCACACAAATCATTGACCGCCCTACCCCGTACTCTGCAACGCGCAGCACTCACTCTCTCTCGCGCTCGCCTTCACGTGCCTACCCTCGTTCCTCCAGCCAGACAGACAGCCACCCACAACCCACTATCCGTATTCCGTACCAATGCGCAGATGGGCTTTGCTCGCTCATTGCTGGGCCGGCTGTTCGGGCTATCCATGCTCCATCCCACTCAGACCAGCCCTGCCAAACTGCTACCCTCAGGGGTCTTCAATCTTGCGCCGATGAACCCTGGCCCCTCAACACGTCCTTGACCCGCACGTCCCGGCCTTCAATTGACTCTGGGTCCTTGGCTGGCACTGGCAAGCTTGGCAAACTAGGAGCGAATACCACTCGTCTGATTGGCACTCGTTCAGGTACGCGGAGCCTGCTCCTCTTTGCGGCTTGCGATTTGCGGCGTCAGCGCGCCCTTCCTTTTTCTCAATCCCAGTTCGATGCTCGATGCTCGATACTCGATGAAGCGGCCATATCTGGTTCGTCGATCCCGGCTTCAAGGCCCCAAGACAACCCTATCTCGTCTCTGTCTCTCTCTCTCTCTCTCTCTCTCTCTCAGACAGCCAGCAAGGAAGCAACACGCAGCTGTAACTTTCAAGTACCTTGAACACATCAAATGCCTCTGTCGACCTAGGAACTTTCAACTTGCCCATAATGATTGATCTGGGAGTCTCTGGAGGGCAGCGGACTGGATGCCGACATACGTACCGGCAACCGGCCCTTGAACCGGCGCAACATGATGACAATCAAGTCCACAGTCTATCCGATTTTTGGGCGGATGGAACGAACCGACCAAGAGGGGTGGCCACTTCCAGGGGACCCTCGCATTGCTCCTGCATCGAGTGCCTATCCTCCCCCATCACGGATGCTGGACCGGACGGCGGATACTCACACAACCACCTCTTCCCATGTTCGATGTTCAGGCTCTCACATCTCAAGTCACTCAATAATCTGGCTTTGGCCAAGCCATCAATGACAACGAACACGCGTCTACCTATGGCTCTGGATCTGGTACACATGCGCAAATTCATACATGTACTGCCCGCAACCACAGACAGACACACTCGCGAGACTGGCCCATTGGCGGCACTGGCCAGCCTGCAGGACTGGCCCTGCAACACCAACTGCCTTAGCTCAAAAGGGGAACCATCCTATTCCTGTTTCCTTTTTGCCTTTATCTCTGGCCCATCCTCGGACGGCTAGAGGTGGCGTCGCCCACTAAACTCGTCTCGTTATCGCACGCCAATGCTACCAAGACGTCGAAACTCGCCGGGCTGCCCGTCTGGGATCCCCTCAGATTGGCCATTCTCCCTCTGGCTGCCCTCTGACTGGATGCGACCTCTGTTGACCCCGGCTCCCAAACCACTTTGTTCACTGCAAAGATGACGGGGATCAGCACCTGAGAGATACAGCGGGCTTTTCCACTTTTCTCCAGCCCAAAAAAGTGAAGGGTACGGGGTCTTCGGGCAGCTCTACGGATACTGCGTAGTATGTGTGGGCGAGGCAGAAAGAACAGAGAGCAGGGAACCAACTGCGGATGCTCTGTAAAGAGCGAGAGGCACACAGGCACACAGGCAAGCCGCAAAAGCGAGCTCGCTGCCCACCACCGGGATGAGCATGAGCACTGATTCTTTCAAGTTGGCGCAGCCCGTCGCCCATCCCAATCCAAGACCGTCTGAACCCAGGCAAGCCAGGCTGTCAGGGGAGGACAGGCTAACCAGACCGGCCGAGACAGTCAGATTGAGCAGAGAGTGAGAGCCCCTCAGTCAACGGCACACCACACACACCACACACCACACTTTAGCTGGCTCTCCTCTCCTTCTGCGGTCTTTTTCTTTTCTCTTGCTTCACACTCCTTACTCACTCTCCATTATTCTCTTTCTCTCATCAGCCCTCTCGTCTCGAAACGACAGGGCGATGCCAGCGAGGAGACAATCATAAATCTGAATCGTCAGGGAAACTGGAACACCGAGATCCCGACATCCTGCACTTTAGCAGCCAAATAAACGCGGCCCCGACATAGATCCAACGGCCGGCTGCCTTGCACGTTGGCCCTGTCCCTTCTTCATCCCATCCGATTTCTCGGGTCCAACAGACTAGAGACAGATACACACACAGAGAGAAAGAGAGAGCCACGAGCTGCTCGTCCTACCGCCATCCAAGAGACCAGCCTCTTGGTACGGCCCCGTTGGAGGACACGGACAAATACTCCCGTCCTCGCTCTACGCACAAACATCAGGATACGCCCAACATCAAATTACCCTTTACTCTTGGCTCCTGGCAAGGCTCGATACCAACAGTTCCTGACTTCACGCCCGCACTAGCGAAGATCCCGTGTCGGATCACGTCAACTTGGATGCAGGTCCAGAGAGACAAGCACCGAAGCCACTCTCCCACCGTTGTTGATAGAACCAACCCTGTTCTCACTCACTCACTCTACCATCTACGTTGCCGGATACTCTCTCTACTCTGATCTTTATCCCTACTCGGTCGCCCCCAAGCCCAAGCCAGCCTGGCCTTGTCACTCGGAGGCATTCCATCGCTGCCCCCGATACATAGAAGCGCCAATTCCCTCCCCTCCCACCCTTCCCAGGCTTTGATCATCCTTTCACAACTACCTTACTTTTCTTCGTCGTTCCCGCGTTGTGCCCAGCGCTACATCCTTGGCCCCCCGGCCTTTTGGAAGTCTCGCACTCTCCACCCTTCCGCCCTCTTCTACAGTTCTGACTGCGATACACTCCTTTTCCATCTTATTTCTTTCTACTGTTCATTCCATCAAAGGACGAACGACGAGTCGATCCGTTTCGTTCCGTTCCATACCGACAATCGCGCAATATAGCCATCTCTGGTTTGCCGACACTCTTTTTCACACCATATCGACGACCCATTCAGCGCCTTACGCACGACCGACCGACCGATCGATCGGGGCCATGTCCGCAAATGCCTGGCCCGGGGCCGACAGCTCCTCCCAGCACTCTGGGCAGCTGTCGCAGAAAGATCTCGTCCTCGACCAGCAAATGATTAAGCACCTTCTCAACAGATATGGCCAAGACAAACTGAATCTTCTTATCCAGGAAACCACCGGCCCTCGTGAGTGACATTCGATGCTGACCGCTCCTTCGTTGCCGTGAACTAATTGGATGCAGAGTCGGATGGTGCATCAATTGTGTCGTCGGCGCAGTCATCTATCCTGTCGGATGACCAGTCGAGCATGTGGGATACCCAGAGCATCAGAACATTCTCCGACACCTCGTCAATCACTGGCAGCATCATCTCCAATGTGTCTCGCGGCACATCGAAAATCCTGGGTAGACGGAGTGGAAGCAGTAGCGCCGCGGCTGCGGCCCAAGCCCAAGCGGCGCAACAGGCGGCTCAGACACAGCAGGACTCAGAATCATGGAATGGTATCGACGTGCCCAACTCGTCCAACACAGCATCCGACGCTGCATCAATCTCCACCAGTGCCTCAAAACAAAAGGGGGCTTTCATGTGCGGATTCTGCAAGGAGGAAGATATCACCAAAACGTGCACCCGCAAAAACGATCTCAAGCGCCATATTGAAGACTTCCATAACGTCAATGCGCAATGGTTCTGCCGTCATCGTGGTTGCCAAATGGTATTTGATTGGCAAGGCGCCTACAAGACACATTTGAAGCAGGCGCATGGCGGGTCGAGAATGTCCCTGGACGAGGCCAAGGTCAACCTTTGCCCACAAGTCGTCTTTGCATGCGGCTTCGACAACTGCCTGCAAGTGTTCGAAGCGCAAGGCGACTCGGACGCAAGTGCGACCTTCAAGGAGTACGTGAGCCACGTCGTGAAGCACTTTGACGAAGGATCCAACAGTGGCGATTGGTCATACTCAGCAAGGATACGGAACCTCCTCAGACAAGGCCAGGTACAATCAGCTTGGAACGAATCGATGTGGAACGAGGCGTCACGGACATCTCTGCAATGGAGCCCCCAGACGTCTGGCATTTTGAGGAAACGACTCGAGTGTCGCCATGTCGGAGATGTCAAGCTGCTTGTGCAGTACGCCATGATGCTCGGCTCCGATCCTAGCAGCATTGGAAAGTTCCGCGAAGACTTCGTCACCCCTGTTGCCGATACGTGCACCTTGCACATGCTTGGGCACAAATCACGACAACCGACCATTGCCGCTCCTCCTGAGCAGCCGGCCGACCCTTTCTCCTTCAAGATATCACGCGGCGCAAACCCTGCCCTTGCCGCTTATATGGCGTCTCAACGTAGAGTCTACGTTCCCAGACAGCAGCGGGTTGTAAGGCCACCGCAATTACATCACCCTCACCAGCAGGTACCGTCATCCAACCCGATGGCCAGTCACTCCCGGTTATCGCAATCATCACATTCATCACACACAAGTAGCCATCACGGCCACCCACAGGTTCACCACAACAACCAGAGTCACAGCACTTTGGGACATTTCTTCCAGGCGATGCCCGAATCACAGATGTACGACCCGAACAGCAACGCCCAAGGCTTCGGACCTAGCAGCGGCGCAATGCACCACAATGGAATCATAGCAGACGATATGCAGAGCCTAAGAAGTATGGGCGGAGGCGCACCCGACTCGACAGACGTGGAAATGCAGGATGGTTTGATGCCGGATTTCTCTTCGCCCTACGGACAGCATTCAGCAAATCTGACAAGTCCATCCATCAACGGTCATCCAGACGGATTCTTCCCTCCCGGACAAGCTTATTAAGAAGCTATACCCGAGGCTATTTGCGACGACCCGACAGTACCGACGACACGAGTGAGCGGCTAGCAACCAGTTGCAGGCCTATGTATCAACAAAATTAGAAGCACATTATAACTCCAGCCCCATCTCGCGCAAGAGATATTTTTCCTTGACTCTTATTTCAATCCAATTTCTTTTGTCGGCGTTTTCTATCAAGATCATATACCCAACATCGGTTGAACGCCATACTGGGCATATTCGCAGTAACTACAGCCTTGGATGACATACGACTGGACGGACGACGGAAGAGCAGGATTGTACATGACAGCTGGTTGCTAGACCGGAGTCGTCCGAAAGTGTCTCGGTACGAACGAGTACGGCTATCGTGAAGGCGGTTATACTCTTCCAGAGAGATGGGATCAGGAAAGCAAGGACAGACTCGGGAACATGGGACGCGGCCAAGGTGGAACGGCCTGGATTTCCGTAAAGCACTCTCAGGTGAAAGCAACAAGGCTTAGTACCGGATGCGTTATACCCACCGGCGAAACGGCTGGAATCGACTTCTTAATTTCTACCATTATCATCACTTCTACTTACTCCTGCTTCCCTTCTGTGCCTCATTGCTCCATGCCCGTTGATGGGATGAAAAACGAGTTGGGACGGCTTGCGAAGCAATTTCTGCCCCGGCAGCCAAAGCCAACCCGCGCTCGTACATTGTCGTGCTCCCTGCGCTTCCTGTGCCGCGCGTCCAGAGCCCTCTGAAGAGACGTATTGACTCGGTCGTGACGTTAGGAATTGACGAGGGGCAGACATTGTTCGAGTAAGGCGCCGAGTCATGTGCGTTGACAGGCCCTCCCTGACAGCTGCGCATACAACTCTGCGACGGCAAGATCACTGATTAACTACACGTGGCACCCATTGGCCCCCATTTTGAGGATCTACAAGGGCATGAGAGGACGATGTACGATTTGCGAGGGGGGTTTGCTGCCGCTTTTCCGTCGGACTTTTAGATAGAGATGGAGCCATCTTTGTTGCAACTGTCAGCACGCTCTCCCGGCGGATCCCCGTGCTTTCCTTCGGATGTTGGAGGAAAGACTGCACAGGGACGGACGGTTTTGGAACCGGATGATTTGCGGCTTCGCGGTTTTGCCCGCGATTGATGAGGCTTTATAAGGCTTTGCTTGTTCCCCTTTCATATCTTGAGCTTGTTTCATCAGGCTAACGGTCCAGCGACACCGTTGATCTTTCTGGGGTCAGCTGGGGTATGTTTGCCACAGCTTGGCTTGGGGTTTAGGCCTCTTGAGTTTATCTAGGTTTCTTGAGTCTAGCTGTCTAGGTCCCTTGAGTTTAGGGCCTAGTCTAGGATCGCCAATGGCTGAACGAACGACGAAAGGATATCACGGATGAGGCATAGATAGACAGACTAGATAGACACATGGCATTTGCCATTGGGATTCTGCATGGATTTGGGGGCGAAAAGGGTGTGGGACGGTTCTTGTGATGCACCGCATAGCTCCGGTCGGCTACACCCGTTTTCCTTGGGCTGAAAGGAAGGAAAGGCATGTTGATCATGAGACAGGATAGGAAGGGATTGGGGGTCTTGGGACTGGGACTGGGACGGCTTATGGGAAAGCTGGCGCTTGTCTCTTCTCCTCCCTTTGTCCCGGCTTTCCGCTGGGCAAATTTAAGCTTTTTCTTTGGTTTTCATCCTTTGTGGGAAGGGCAGGGGGATCCTAAACGGGTCCCTGCCTCGATTGAGCGTCGTGAGGCAGACTGGGTATGCGATGAGAAAGGGTAAGTGAGAAAGGGAAAGTGTCAAGCTATGTAGATCTGGGATATGGGTTGTTTTATCTGATGGTCTTGTTGTTGAGTTGGTGGTGGAGCTACGATTTCGGGTTGACGGCCGGACGGGAGATTGACCGTGGGCTCCTGGGGACCGGGTACGGGGTTAGCGGAACTACGATCGGGGCTTGGTAACTTGGAGACAGATGTCGAGATGTCAGTGCGGTTTGATGGGGACTCGGTGGTTAAGCGGAGTCTCCGTATCCCCCTTTTGCGGTCATTCTTACGGAGGGAAATGCTTCTTTGGTGGAGATGGGGAGAAGCGGGAGAATGGGTTTTCTTGGCGGTTCCTTGCTGCTGGGATTTCGCTGGGTTGAGGAGGAACAGAGTTAAGGCAATACATAATCACGGCAGCGGAACCCTTGAGAGATGTAGAGAAACACGGTTCAGTTGGGGGTCTTTGGGGATAGATGATGGACAGAAGGGGGAAGGGACACGCGGCGTCGTGTTGGACTTGATGTGAAGAAGTTTGGCTGAGTTCGTCTTCGTGTCGGACCGCATGTGATGGTGAGGCGACGGCGAAGGGGTTAGAGTTCAGCGAGGTAGTGAGCATTACTTTTGTAGGTAGGTGGAGGCACTCTGCTCTGGTTTGGGGAATGTGAGGCACTCGTCACTTTTTGGAATGTGTCTTGCTAGAAAGGCAACTTTTGACAACTGCTTTTGGTGATCTGCCTTTCGTTAGTGTTGTGCTGGGAGGCAGGGCAATGGGTATGAGCGCAGCGAATGGAATGGGCAAGCTTAGATGGTGATCTGCTCTTCGTTAATGTTTTTGTTGAGAGGGAAGCACGAAAGGTAACGTGAGAGTAGCGGAGGGAATGGACAAGTTCAGATCGGTGATCTGTTCTGACCGTTCGTGGTAATGCTGCGTAACATTCAATGAGACCCTGCAATCCTACCCTCGAGGACGAGTTGCGTTTGGCCGTCTTGGTTTTTTTTCCACTTCCTTCACCTCATCTCAGCGCACCGTGGACGTCGACGTGGGATTGGACGGGGTTCGCCGACGGTGAGGAAGATCACTCCCCTAACCACTTGTCTTGGGTGAACCAATTGTGACTTTAGGGGCAAGCCCATCTCATGTTGTGTCAGGCAACCCAGCGAGCGGGCATCCTTCTCCTCCTCTCCCTCTTCCACACACTCTCCATCCGTTGGAATCCTATGGCAGCCCACCAGTCGAATGGGCGAATGACGGCTGAAGCACCGACGGCAGTCGGGCTCTCCGCTGACGCAGGTGGCATCGTCAGTTTTGAACGCCCGCGAAATGGACTGAGGGGAAACTCCTCCTTCAACGGCCGTATGCGGTAGAGCATGTGGCATGTACGATGTGGCTGACTGGCTGGCACGGCTGGTTTAAACCATCGTCTTCGAGACGAGTGCCTCACCAAGGTTGCCACATGCCTGACATCTGGAGGGGAACGCAAGCAATCGTTGGCAGTTTCAGCCTCGAAGAAAGTTGAGGCAAGCGCGCGATAACAACTATCCAAACCAGTCCATCAAGTTTTGGGATAGCAGATCGTCCCCTCTCTTGATCTCTTGATCTCTTGATCCCCCGACTCGAGTCACTTAGGGCTCAGATTCACCACGCGGACTCAACAAAGAAATCTTTCTGGCGGGGAAGTCTTTGGCGTCGTCGGAAGGAGGACAAAGACTCGGATAGAGGACCAGTTGAGAGACACCCTGTGAATCGTCCCGGGGCTTCGGTTCCGGAAGACGCGAGACGGTGATGTCGACCACGGACCAGAAGCTGGCCCCATGGCAATGACAACGACGCGACACACCGACACGACGTTCCGGCGACAACGGTTAGGTCCTTCGTTGATGGAATTCAAACCCCATCCAGTCCAAGATATGTCTGTTGATGCTCTCGACTAGGGGGAAACGTCACCCTTGCCGAATCACCAACCATCTCAGCCCACACCCAATCTCACCACCACCATCACAGACCAAAAACACAGTCATGCGGATCCTTTGTTCTAGCGCCATTCTAGAAGGCCGCTAACGGTCTTGGCTTTCTACTTTCCTTCGCTCAGCTGGGCGCTACACAGCCCCGCCAGGACTCGAGTGCGTCCTATCAGGCTGTCAGTGGTCATCGTAACACAGGTTCTTGGTCTCTCTTGACTCTCTCCCTCTTCGCCCCCTGCCTCTGCCTCTAGGTGTCTTTTCTTTATTGCTCCACCTGCACCTGTCATCCGGACATAACGAACAAGGGCGTGGGTTCTTGCTCGCGGCAGGCGGCTCCGTTGTGATTTGGTTCGTCGAGAGAGGTCGTCCCTGGTGGTTGACTGGTTCAAGAGGTACGAAATACTGTGTAGATGACGGTTCGCCGCAAAAGAAAAATGAGGGGGAAGGCGGCATCGAAATGGGATGAGATCAGCGTCTCTTGTCTCATTCTCTGCGCTGCCGCTTACCCCGGTTGGTTCTTGGATTAAGACGCTTGAAGTCGAGCCGTCGTGCATCTCCCTCAATGGGAATCAGGCTCCCGAGGATCCGATTTGTTCTAGAAGGCTTGGTGAAGTTTGACAAGGTTGTGGACCATAGTAACGAGTGTTATTGTAAACAACCAGCTTCCTCTCAAGTACCTGTTCGAGAGCAACTTCTTCGCAGCTAGTGCTGCGAGCGATGGAAACTCAGACATCCTTCCCCCAATTCCAGGCTAGCTTCCTAGAGTCAGGCTGAGGCTGATTGGATTCTCATCCAGGAATGTAACCCGCCATCACCATTACCATTACCATGATCAAATGGCCCCTCAAGACCCCATGCAGGAGTTACTTCACCGTTGCTCCAAAACGGCCTCAGTCCTGAGCCCTGCGCCCGCGCTAATGCGAAAGAAGGCGCAAGAGAACAACCACTTACACACACGCACTCCCACATATCCCTACACATACGCACTCGTAGAATTCCACTAGAACGTTCAGCGAACGAACTAGTCGCCACTCGTCAGACAGCGCCATTCCCCTCCTCCATTAGTCTCGTGTTGGCGCTCTCTCAGAGGCTCGCAACCTGACCTGGCCATGCTTGACTTGGCCTCCTCCTCGTGGCCTTCTTTGATGGGGTGACGGGTTGTCTTGACTTGGCAAGACAGAGGGCTGGTATACAAATGTCGAGTCGCTGCTCTTCCGTGCCTAGTCTTGGCGCATTTCTTTTTTCCCTTTGCCATTCGGATCCTGTCATACGTTCCCGCCCGC